CATCTTGCAAAATTGAATCGCTAAAAGGATATCTTATACATATAACCTTATTTTGCATGTTAGTAATGCTTACCTTATTTACTGACTACCGAATATCTTCTTATTCCTTATTTTCAATTCGTGGCATACAGATTGAATGCTGAAAAATGCTCAGGTAAAATTTAGATTAACTGAAGAGAAGGATAGCGGATAGATTAGGGTATCTGGAGATGTCGATTGACATTACATTTGAATAGTTGGAGATTATAGCTATCAGAGAAGCAGGAAGAGGGGAGTGAGTTCCACAGGGGAGAGGTGCGAGATATGAAGCTATTGCAGTAGAAGAGACGGCTTCATTTAACAGTTTAAATATATATACTTATATTATTAAATATATCAATGAATGTCTATTATGCCTGAACATGAGCCGTTCTAATGTTTGTATGTTTGTGGAAATAAAGACAAAAATTGTCCAAAATGTGGATATTTTTTATTAAGTTGGTCCTTGATCTAAACTTTCTGCTCACATGAGCCACACTTAAAAGCTAAATATAAAGCTTCAACACTTCACCTTGTCAGTCGTCTTTAATGAAACTTATATATATATATATATATATATATATATATATATATATATATATAAAAAGTAAAAAAGATTAATAATAGATAACTGATTGTCAAATGGGAAAATGGTCATACGTTATACGTTTCACTCCTAGATAAGAATTATGGATGATAAATATATATATATATATATATATATATATATATATATATATATATATATATATATATATTTATATATATATATATATATATATATATATATATATATATATACACACACACACACACATATATATATATATATATATATATATATATATATATATATGACTTAAAACCATTTTTTTCTGTTTGTTATTTTCATTGTTTTCTGTTTGTGAGTGTGCGCGCTTAAGAAGAGTAACATTCCTTTCCAATGACACACATCAGTCTATAATATGCGCCTATAATTTGGCAAATGATGTTTAGTGAAAAAAAAAAAGATCTAACGATATTCAGATGATGATGCTTTTAATCTTAAGACTCGATTTTGAATTTATCTTTTAACATTGCGAGTTCCGTACTTGTCGCTTTGTTGTCGAATTAAAATATATACTACATTTATTACAAATGTTCCCCTTAAATATATGTCATTAAAATGACTTCAAAGGGACGCACATTTCGACCTACTATTAACGTCACTAAGACACAAGAGGTTAATGAGGGTGAAAGAGAATGAGAAGATTTCAGTAAGAAGAAAGACGATAAAAGAACAGAGAGGAAGGAGATGGCGACTGACATTCTATTTAAATGGTTGAAGATTGTAGGCGGCAGGGAAGCAAGAAATTGGAAGAAAGTTTCACAGGTGCGAAGTGCGAGAAATGAAACTATTAAAATAGAAGTTAAGGTTGCATCAGCAGTAAAAGGATAAAACCTGCTAGACGATCTGGTACTACGCTTAAATTCAGGCGATCGAAATACCAAGGAGGAGAGTTAATTAGAACAAATACCAATGAGAATATCTATAGAAAAGACAGAGGGAAGCAGTGTTACAGTGATGGGAAAGGGACTGAAGTTCAGGTGCAAGGTCAGGACCGGTAATGATACAGACCTAATGGATTTTGGCAAGAATCTCGAGACTCTTTTCCTGTTAGACAAGGATTATTGCCAGACAGAAAGGGAATTGAACACGCGCGAAATAGATTCTTTCCAATGCAGGAGGACTGAAAATACATATAGTTCAGTACTCTTTTCCTTGCTTCTAACGAGATTTTTCTATTTCTTAATATTTTGCTGAGCTTTTGGAAGGCATCTTTCGATATCCAAATGCACCTTTGGATTTCCGTATCGCATTTTTCATACCCTTTAATACGCTTCCCAGATATCCTAATTGTTGCACCTGTTTGATTTCGTTATCTCCAATCAGTAATTTGCATGTTGAGCTGTTCCATTTGCTAACAACCATGCATTCAGTCTTATAATTGTTGTTTAGTTCTTGTAGTTTCCTTCAGTTCAGTCAGTTATGTGCCATGTGTGATACACGCTTAGGCGATCATATATCTTTCGATACATGACTGACGAGGCAGATTTTTTCCCCGTAGTTAGTTGCCATTTCTTTCTGCGGTAGGTCAGTTTTCATCCAGGGCTATAGAACCTGGTCTGTCCTGCTATTTACCGATAGCTGGTGGGAGAAGAAGAGGATTCATACTTTTCCCAAGGTTTGGCTTGGTTTGGTTTGGTTTGTTTTTATGGCATATCAACCTCAATATGTTATTTAATGCCAACAAAATTTTTATTGTCGTAATTTTTTTCCTTCAAAAAATCTATTTCTGGTAACATTTTTTCCTTCAAAAAAAATCTATTTCTGGTAATATTTTTTCATTCCAAAAATCTATTTCTGGTAACATTTTTCCTTCAAATATGTATTGCTGGCAGATTTTTTTTTTTTTTACAAAAATGTATTGCTGGTAATATTTTTTTTTACAAAGTATTTCTGGTATAAAAACCTATTTTTACACTTTCATGGTGTTTTGACTCCAGTTTAGGGGTTAACTATTTGCCCATAGCTGGGACCCTAACAGGTGCTACCACATCGAGTCAGGGTGAACCTGGGAACACCAGCAATTAAGAGGTAGTTCCACGCTCCTTAAAACCTCCTGATCTTGCTGTTGGATGTAGTTTATCGTCTTACCCAGGACGCTTTTCCTAAGGGCCATAGCACGTAAGTGAATGCAATGTAGTTTCCTTACTGTGTCTAATATCAACACCGTGTCATCTGCATATCTTATGTTGTTAATATTTTAAAAATGAAGGAATAGAAATAGTGCTTTCAAAATGTCTACAAACTTAAAATTTGATGGATAATAACTATTGGTTTAGAATGTTAGTTAATTACATGGTAACCGAGAATTCAAATACAGGTATTAGTATAATGGATACTGATAAATCGGAGGGCCGAGTTCAAATTCTAATCAGATTCGTTACAGGAAAAATATTTTGTAGGGTGTTCAAATATCTCAGTGTACTAACGGTGGACTAATAACAATCGTTATATCATAATAACATTTTTAATTATTATAAATAGGAGAATACAAATTATTCTGTGATTGTACTAACATAAATTATATTAGATTAGCAGCATGGCCCAGCGTTGCCCGTGCTTGATTAAAAAATCGTACGACTCATACAGCAATCGCTATCACTTGACTTAAAATTTTTTTGCCCTTCCTTGCCTTTAAAGGAGTGCACTTTGCCGTGCTGATGTTGCTACATGCCTTACTTCTTGCCTATCTCACACTGCGAATTTGTTCTAAGCTCTATACTAAACATTAAATCTCTTACGAAAAAAGAACTAAACAAAATGAACACAAACTCAGCTTTAAAAAAGGACTCGTAACTGGAAAAACCGAATGAAAAAAGAATGTTAACAACAAATACTTTTTTCACACCCAACCCAATTCTGCGGAATCAGAATCAACGTTGAGTTTAAGCAAGCGAATGAGCAAATTGGAGTAAAGTGCCATGCAGATTTAAATTTTTCCCACTTGTGACGAATGCAGCTAGCGATTTTTTTTGCATGCTAGCATGCTAGTTAACATCCGTGTCAGTCAGCTGTTGGCTCTCACACTGGCCAATAGAATCTTCCTGCCTATTCGTGGCAGCCAGCTATAAGCTCTCACTCTGGTCAGTACAAAATGGCCGCAAACTACATGAAAACTGCCGTAGAAGCATGAAAAAATCGATTATTTCCACTATCGATGGGAGTTGGGAAAAGCAAAGTCAGTCTTGGCCTTCCCGCTAACTTGGAGGATGTGCATGTAAATTTTGGTGCAAATCCGTCGAAAATTGCACCCGTGCATCGTTACACACAAACACACATCCTGCCTTTTATATATAGAGATTCTCAGATTGTTTTTTTTATTCAACTTATATTCGCTATCGTTGTTTACATGATAAATATATTACATGTTTTAGTATTTGCTGCCTTACGATATAAGGGAGTGCTGAAAAGTTCTCGGCTCGGCCCAATTCCAAGCATCTGATCAAATGAGAGATCAGAATTTACTTTTTTCCGACCGAGAACTTTATAGCACCTCACTAATAATAACATGGGCGAAAGATTTCCCGTATCTGTTTAATAACTCATACCCGTGATAGAAAGAGTTAAAACTATCTACAGTGGAATAATTGATAGCGGCTCGGATTGCGGAATCGGAGAGCCGAGTTCGAATTCCACTTGAATTCATTACATTCACTTACGTGCTAATTTGAAAGGTATGAATTCTCTTCTTCTCCTCCCAGCTATGTGTAAATAGCTTTGGATGGCAACTGGTCTACCCCAGAAAGAAATGGCAACCTATTGCGAGAAAAAAAATATGCCTCGTCAGTCGTGATCGCCTAAGCGTTTATCACGCATGGCACATAACTAACTTGGGTTTTAAATAAAGATAAAGAAAGCAGTTCTTCCCTGTGCCAATTATATATAACAAAACCAAGGCAGAAGCCGTGTGTTGGTATATTACTGATATCTCATAAAATAACGAGGACGGAATGGAAACGTGGCCTGCATGTCTTTATCTGTGTCTACGACTAAGTACGTTAAACACTCAATTCAGTGCTTGATTACTTCTCATTGGAAAGAAAATATGGAAGAAATATCTTCGTTTATTATCCAGCGAAACGTAGAATGTAGAAGTGGTGAAGCATTAGACTCTATAATTTTCATGAGAAGAGCGAAGAAGAAAAAAAAAAAGATCCTAAATTTCGTGAACTACGAGTCACCAAGTCTGAAGGTTTTTCCCACAATTATTTAAAGAAATTGAAGAGAAAGAAAGACATATTATGAACAATAAAAAGGCAAAAAGAGAAAATAGTTATAACAGTGGCAAGTAATGGTGGCTGAAGAAACGAACAAAGGAGAAAATGATGATGATGATGATGATGATGATGATGATTATCAGCATCATAATTATTATCTAAAAAAAGAGAATAAAAAATGAAAAAATAAAGATATACTTAGATATAAAAGAAATGGAACAATGAAGAAAAAGAAAGTAATGGTGATAAGGAAGAAGAGGCGAAGAATAAGAATAAAGTGATGTTGATAGAAGAAGAAGAAGAAGAAGAAGAAGAAGAAGAAGAAGAAGGAAGTGATGTTGATGGAGAAGAAGAACCAAACAAATAAAAGAAATAAGCGAAGAAAAAGAAAAAGGGGAAGAAGAAAAAGAAGAAGACAACAACGAAAACGAAGGTGAAAAGAAGATGTGCTTAAGAATAAGAATAAATTGATGTTGATGATGAAGAAGAAGAAGAAGAAGAAGAAGAAGAAGAAAAAGAAGAAGAAGAAGAAGAAAAAGAAGAAGAAGAAGACAAAAAGGAAGGTGAAATGAAGAAGAGGCTAAGAATAAGAATAAAGTTATGTTGATGGGAAAGAACAAGAACAAGAAGCAGAGGAAAAAGCAAAGACGAAGATGGCCAAAATGTATACCACAATGAAGAAGAAATGATAAAAGTGTTGAGGGATAAAAATATGTACTGAGAAATAAGCAAAACACAAAACGGAAACAGGCAGGATACGAAAGAAATTAAAATAATTAACTTAGTGCAAAATAAAATATGCCAACAAAGAAAAAATTGTGAAGAAATATTAAAGAAAAATAAAAGGAGAAAAAACAATGGCGAAGCAACAACCGACGAGAAATAAAAAAAAGAAAGAAAGAAAGACAGAAAGAAAGAAAAAAAGAAAGAAAGATTGATCTATGACAAGAAAGGAAGAAAGAATAAAAGGAAAAAACGCTAAGTGCAGAAATTATTTAAAACTTGAAAAGAAAAAGAATATGACTCATAAAAGTAGATCAATCATAAAAAAAATCTTTAAAAAGCGTCAAACTCTCCTTTAAATATGAAGAGAATGTTTATCATAAAATTGAGCGAAAAAAATTGCAAAAAGAAAATTTAACATAATTGCATTTCGGGGAAAAATAAGAAAATTTCACAAAGAAAAGAAAATAATTTTCGGAAGTATTAGAAAATGTCTGGGAGGACGAAAAGTGGGAAAAGGGATTTCATTCGTGTTTTTCATCTGTTAAAGTTACATTCCGGTCTGTTAGCCATTGTATGACTTCTGTTGATTGTGTGTGCAGACGTGTGCATTTGTAGAATCGGAGACAAAAAGTTCCCACTTGTTTTTATTCAGTATTTCTTTCTCATTCTGTCCTGACACCCATATTTCCCTTTCATTCTATGTCGAACTACTTCTTCTATTCCTCCCTACTTCTCTCAGTATATATGGACACGATGGGGGTAAGACCCTCTTTCCAAAATTTGACCAAATAACCAAACAGAAGAATTTGAGGGGAGGAGTCAGAAAGAGAGAGAGAGAAAGTGAGAGAGAGTTCGATTTAGCGTAACATACAGCAAGGATAAGCGAGCTGAATTCGATTTCTGAGCTTGTCAGTGTTTCCTAACGCGTTAAAGTCCTTAGGGAATGTAAAACTATTAACAAGCCTGATTACTGTCATATCACGATATCTACACAAAATAGTGAGTGAGTGAGCACTTGACCAAATCACACCCCAAATAAATGACTTACAATACTGTAAAGATCTGTTAATCAAATTTGATAATGCCATTTTTACCGCTGCCATTTTTACCGAGCACAATATATATATATATATATATATATATATATATATATATATATATATATATGAATTTAGGTAAAAATGGCAGCGGAAAAAATAGCAGGGTAAAAATGGCAACGGTAAAATGGCAAAAATGGATAAATAGGAAAAAATGGCAATTCGACAACAGAAAATTATGACCGTTCGAGAAGGATTGGTCTAAGCTCCCATCCCTCTAGTTTAAAATAGGGCTAAGTCCCCCCCCCCTCAATATTTTAAATTAAATATTTTTAAATAGATATTTACTCTAGTGGGGGGAGCTAGGCTCCATCTCCTCTTGTTTTAAATAGGGGCTAAGTTCCCACTCCTAGTATTAAAAACATTTTTTTAAAATTTTCGATGTCGATTTTTAGAAGTTTTATTGGGGAGGGGGTGCTAAGTTCCTACTCCTAATTGCAGTAAAAGCACAAATCGTAGCGTGTTTAAGTGAATTTGATGACTATAATTAATTTTATACTTGATAGCTGACATTAAGATTAGATATATATATATATATATATATATATATATATATATATATATATATATATATATATATATATATATATATATATATATATATATATATATATATATATATATAAAATAAGTGTGTTAGCGTATATATATATATATATATATATATATATATTAGTTTTGGGACGATTAATCGGAATCGGGGAATCGGAAAAATCGCAAAGGCGAAGGTTAGGAATCCCATTCACAGATTTCGTATTCTCAGAGTCTAATTTAATTATTTTATTCGTAAATTATGGTAAACGAATTAAATATTCTAGAGTTCACTTAGCCTATTCCCTCAGCAAACCTTTTGAATTTCTGTTCACACCTATTTGTTAAATGTCTATATGACGCCTCTCAGAGACTTCACACTTGAGTATTAAAAGATTGAAAACGCATCAGACAAGATTTTAAATTTTACTGGCACCAGTCTGACCCTGTCGTTGTCTTATAACCTCTGAAATAATTAATGTTTTATTGTTTGTTTGTTTTTTCGGTTTTGGCACATGTGTAAAACATAGATTCAGTTCTTGTCCTGGAGCCGTCCAGCACAAACTGATATCGGTGGCTCTAACACAACCCTATCATGGAAGTTATAAGGAGTAATAAAGGAAAAGACAAGATATGCTTCCTAGGATACATGTATACAAAACAGATTGCAAGCTCAACTACTATCAGATGGAGATGTGTTAAGAGAACATCTTTTTGTAAAAGCGCCTTGACCACCAGCTGTGAGATGACTAATCCTGTACCAGCTAATAATCACAACCACGCTCCTGGTTATGCAGAAATTGCATCGACAAAATGCATCGACAAAATGAAGAGAAGAGCAGCAGAAACAGAAGATAAACCTGGCCAGATTTATAGCAACAACCTCGATGACTTACCAACTGAGGCAAAGGCATTACTTCCAAGTGAGGAGATCATAAAAAGAACTTTGAGTAACCAAAGAACAAAACGTTATCCACAAGTACCAGATAGAATTGAAGATCTGCATCTTACTGGAAAATGGACTACTACTGCTTCTCCTGGGTCCAAACCATTTTTGTTCTTCGACAATGGTCCAAACACTGCCAACCTTGCACCACAAGGATTACTAGCTTTATGTAATACGAACCCCGATTGATAATACTGCAGTTTCTACGGTTTTTGCTTGTCTGCAGAATAAGACACAAGAAATATATGAAAGACTATTACAAGCAATCATAGACCGCTGCCATAATATTGACATTTATCCAGATCCAACAACCATAATTGTAGACTTTGAACAGGCGACCATCCAAGCCATTAAGAATGTTTTAGGCCCGGAAACACGCACACAAGGTTGTTTCTACCACTTAACTCAGAGTACTTGGAGAAAAATACAGGACCTTGGCCTTACTAGACATTACAAAGAGAGTGAGGACTTTTGTCAATTTTGTGGACAGATCGACTCATTGGCATTTGTACCTGTAGAAGATGTCCCAGCAGGAATGCAATTACTCAAGGCAAAATGTCCCGATGAGGCAGTTCCCTTGCTGCAGTACTTTGACCAAACATTTGTTTCTGGCACATATGTTCCGCGGAGGAGACAAAGCAACCAGCCAGGAATTCCAGTAGTAAACCTTTGGTGCATACCATCCAAATTCCCACCAGAACTTTGTACATCAAGCAACCATAAATGACTGTTCCAGAACCAACAACCTATATGAAGGGTGGAACAACAAATTTTATCATCTTGTTGGTTATCAGCGCCCATCTATTTGGAAACTGATAAGAATGATTCAAAAGGAAGAGGCCGTTGTGAGTGCAGTGATAGCAAGGGACGCAGTTGGTGAACCACCAAAAAAGAAAACAAAGAAAATATATTCTGATCTGCAACAAAGACTAAAAAATGTATGCAGTGACTACACACAAGGAAGGAAAGATTTGGATCAATTTTTAAGTGGACTTGGTTACAACATAAGATTCTAACTTATTTTTTTTTATTTTATTTTTGGTATTATTGTAGATGAGGACTCTTACTTAGCTCAATCACCTCCCATCCCCTAAAAAATGAGAATCTACTTTCATTTAGGTGATTACATATGAACTGCCTGGAAAAAAAAGAAAAACAATTACTTTAGAATTTAGCGAGGGGATCAGTATTGTATATAAATTTAACGTAAAATGATCACCCACATTCTGACCAGATAGTGTCTTGACAACATGTAACCGTTTTGTTTGTCCTTTTTGTAGTGGTACGGTTAAGGAAACGTTTTTTATGGGAGGAGGGGTTAGTGGTAGGATTAAAGAAAGGTTTTTTAATTCCTCCCAACAAAACACAAGCAATTTATCTCCCGTACCCCCCCCCAAAAAGACAGATCTTCTTATATGCGTTTAAAACGCTATTTGATTAGACATTGGCCCAGAAATGGATGTTCATTTGAATTAATATGCGAAACTGATCCCACATTTTAAATTCTCCTAAATATTAATTATTATTTTTCAGTTGACAATGGGTCAAAGGTTACAATTTTATCCCAAAATAAAACAGTGGAAAATAGTTTGATAATTTAAGTTGGTGTTACTAATTCAATGCAAATAAATGTTAAAAAAAAATCATACAAAAATCAAACAAGTAAACTGATCATTGGTCTTAAATATATTTTTTGCTGAAATAAATAGGCTAATTTATTTTTTTAAGTCTTGAAAATGGAAACTTAATTCAATGATTTAATCGCTGGCGGTCACTGCTTTTAACTTTCTTGCACCAAAATGATTTTTACTTTTTGAAAAAAATATCATTATACAGAAAATAGGCAAAACTGATGTTTAACGATCCCATTAAAATCAAATTAAAAACTAGAAACGGTCTACTTGATATCAAAAAACTAGAAACGGTCTACTTGATATCAAAAAACTAGAAACGGTCTACTTGATATCAAAAAACTAGAAACGGTCTACTTGATATCAAAAAACTAATCCCTATTATATGTCGATGTACGGGGGTGGAATTAAAAATTTGTTTTAATCATTCTTTTAATATTAACAAATAGCAAAATAAAACTGCTCTTTATAATTTGAAATGTTTATTCTTTATTGTACATAATCAAATTAAACTTTTTTTTTAATTGGAATGTTTTTTCTTACAAATAATCAAATAAAACTTTTTATAATAGGAATGTTTTCCTTGAAAATATTTTTTAAATGGTTTATTTATTATTTTTTATAATTGGAATGTTTTCTTTTTGTGTGAAAATACTTTTTAAATAGTTTATATTGAAAACATTTTTAAATACTTTATTCTATTTTTTAAATAGTCTAATAGTTTTTTTTATAAATAGAAATGTAACAAAATTTAAGTATATTAAATGTCATAGTAATAATGTATCCAATATATTGTTTTTTTTATTCGACTACATTACTGATTCATCACGTGTTCAAACTAGTGAAATAAAAAAAAAAACAACTCTAAATGTACAAAACTGACGAGGAACTGTTTTCCGATAAACACCGCTTAATGTCAAATTCTGATTTCAATACCGGAAGCCGTCATCAAGTGGACCTATAATTGTTTTTCCCCAAGTTTTTCAGTGTGTTCAGACGTAATCGCCTAAAAGGTAAAATCTCATGGGATGGGGGAGCTTTAGCTGAATATTCTTTTTAATTTGACAAACTTCTCATGTATTTCCATTATGTATTGTATCCAAGATTTTAATAAACTCATTGTGAGATATTCGTCTATATTTTTTTCCTTTTTTTATTTTTTTTTATTTATCCATTTTTGCCATTTTTACCATTGCCATTTTTACCTATTTATACATTTTTGCTCTTTTTACCGTTGCCATTTTTTCCTATTTATCCACTTTTGCCATTTTTACCGTTGCCATTTTTACCGCTCCCATTTTTACCGTTGCCATTTTTACCGAGCACCATATATATATATATATATATATATATGTGTGTGTGTGTGTGTGTGTGTGTGTGTGTGTGTGTGTATGTATATGTAAAATAGATAGGTTGGTTAATAAAACAAGGCCAGACGAAAGGGTACCAATGTGATCAGTACGAAAGATGTTTATTAATTATTAATTATTAACGACCAAACAAAAATGAAGCACGGTAATTAAGGTTTTAATTCTCGGGCATATCTGTGTCCTTCATCATCGGTGTGAGAAGTAAACAGAGAAACGGAGAAGACTAACCAACTGTTGTCTGTGTGTCTAAGGGGTTAATTTGCATTGTAATATTATATTCCTACTGGTGAGAGGCGGCAAACCTGAGGCTCGTCTCGGGCAGCAAAACACTAGCTACACAACTGATACACCCCCTCCCATTAGTTTCAGATACGTTCTCCTCCTTTTTAGTCTCTGAGGGAAGTCTCGTCTGGATGTTTTCAACCCTGTGGCAGCACCTCCCCTCATTGCATTAAAGAGGAAGATTTTGTGGTTATCGACGTCGGTGTGACAGTGGTTGGAGGTGACTGGAAAACTTCTCCCATATATACGCGTATTGCTATTACACGTTAAACCGAATTTGTGTCACATCCCACCACCGTAAGGAGTAAGTTGGTAGGTAGATATACCCATTGTCAAGTAATTTTATTTTTATTACGATACTCGTTAATGTCACATCGCGTAAGAAGTGGCTTTACATATTCCATCTGTGTTAAGGATGCACAACCGACTTCAACCGGAAATGAAACACGGGCTGTTATTTTTTTTCCGTGTGTGTTCAGAGGCATTGCGTACTTGCCCGCCAACATCTCTCTCTCTCTCTCTCTCTCTCTCTCTCTCTCTCTCTATCTCTCTCACACTTTCCCGCTCTCTAAATCCTAACCCAAATTGAAATGTTATACTATAAAATAATGCCAGGATATCAGAAACAAAACTCTTGTCTACAATACTGACAACAAGTGGTCCTCCATAATGACAGAGACGGTTGAAATTACGAAAACAAACGAACAAAAACGTGAACTTTGAACATTTTAACTACAATTTTCCTTTGCATGTGTAATAACTTATTCGAAAGAGAGAAAAATACTATAAATAACGTCATATATATATATTATATTATATATTATAAAGGCTTGGCTGAAAAACCGACAAAATTTCTTTGTTTAATAAATTTTTTTATTTCATTTTATATAGTTTCGGATGATAAATTATCCAACGTCTTCTGAGCTGAAAACTATGGTCCAAATTAACTAATTTATAATAAAGAGTTTAAATCACTAACTAAACAGTGCGTTTGTTTGTTTATTTCTCATCTTAAGCGCATTTTAGATTATTTCACTTTTGTCCGTTTCAAAAATAGATGGCATGACAGTTTCAACTATTGATGTCATCTTAGTAGATGTCATCGTCATTTTTGATGTTGTCACCGTCCACAGAGTTGTCTCAAAACTTCGGCCACGATGATTTGTGTCCTCGTGCCAGTATAACCATGGACCGTTTCCTAACAATTTCGTTTACCAAATTTCCCTAATAATAATAATATACGTTTCGAATATGGAACTCAGCAGATAGAGCTTTCGAGAAAAACTAAACGAATGAATATACATTGAGGCAAATTGAAGCTTGCTGAGCAGTGAAGTTCTCTGTAGCCAAGAGGTCAAAAACACGTCGGATCAGATGGTGGTTTCTCCTGCAAATGAGGACGCAGGTTCGAATCCTGCTGGATGGAACATTTTCTTTATTTAGTTTCCTTGAATGTGTAGGCCGATAGACGAAATAAATACTGCCTAAAAAAAACGAATCGTTTACTCAATTACAGGTATCTCCTAAAAATAACGTTTGAAGTAATATATCTGTGTGTCAAATTTTAGATATAACTAAAAAGATATATGTAAAAGGGCAATATGAATATAGAGAATAAAGAAAAAAAGAAAACTTAACCGACGTGTTTCGTCCTCTGGTGGACTTTATCAAGACAAATGCAAGGAATTTATTTTACAAGTATTTATGAACAAAAGTAACAATTTTGCTAGTTTTTTTTTAATTTTTTTAGATTTAAGGGACGCTCATAAAGTGAAAAGTCTAGGTAAATTATGGAGTATGCGAAGTGACATAATTTAATGTCTAATAAGTAAATGATGTTGATTTTTTTATAATGTAATTAATATTCAAGTTTTAGTTTATGTTGTAACCTAGGGAAGGTTACTGAATAGAATAATCACATGAGTGTTAGTGAGAGTGAAGGTAAGAGTAAAGTGGAGTGTTTGAGAAAAGAATAAAGCGAAGGATGGGGATCAAGATCAAGATGCAAAATTCAAGATGTCGTTAATTTTTCAATTTAAGAACACTCATAAATATACACCCGGCCAACTGAAAAGTCTAGGTAAATTATGGAAGATGCTAAGGAACGTAATTTAATGTCTAATAAACAAAAGTAAATGATGATGTTTTTCAATTTTTTTTTCTTTTATAATGTAATTAATATTATATTATTTTAGTTTAGGATTAATTTATGTATTATATATTTTATATAAAAGTTATGAACTTAACTGTTTTCTTTTAATTTTTTAACATTTTTTATAGTCATGTATGTTGACTTCGGAAAGGAGTAATTCTTTCAGGAATGGAGATATTGGAAAAAATCCGGGGCACAAATTTATATATTGATAATATTCAATAGCGGCACTCTCAAGAATTTTCCGTCTAAGTTTCTCTTTTAATTCGTGCAGCATTTTCAGATCAAAGTTTTGGTTGAATTTATTTCTGTGTATGACTAATGCATTTGATAAATTGTTGTGTATAAATTTTTGCGTTCATAGATACGCTTTTCTTTTCATTTCTTCAAGTTTCCCCAGTGTTTTGTGAAGAGCAGTTGTTACAGTTTATTTTATATATACCTGCTTCAGAATTATTATTGTAATGGGTATTTTTGGTTCTAATGATACCCATAATAGTTTGGAGCGTGATTGTAATGATTTTGATATTGAAGAAGAAATATATATAGAAAAGACTTTCAAAAACCGCCAATATTCTCATTATTTCATTCACAACGCAAATAGAAAGGCATACAAACTAAACAACCGCAAAAAAGATAATGATATTATTAATGACAATATTTAATTGATAAAGACAGACATATAATACTACCTACTAACTCCTAAATATCTACGATCCAAAACAATTTATCCAATCTTGACAATATCAAAATAATTGCAACATCAAAAATTATTAACTCCGCTGATGATATATTTCTTTTTACTAAAGACAAGTAAAAATCTAAGAACAACCTTAAAAAATATTGTAACTCTCTCATTAATTTCCCATACGGACTAAATATTGATGACAGCATTTTTATGTTTTATTACGTCCGTCCACAACATTCAAAGCGGCTGTTGGCAGTATGGAAATAGTGGCTCAAGTTTTCCGCCAATAACGCAGCTGAGAAATAGATTGGTAAAGTGGCGTCTGATTTAAAAGTGCGTACAAACCAGAAGTGTGCCATTCAATTTCGCTAGGAAGAAAATACATCAAACACTGACATTCACTAACGCGTTTCGAACATTTACAGAAACCAAACAATGGATGAAAGCACAGTTAGACGGATTTGTAATACTGTGACAACAGTAATGTGTGTAACTAGCCTCGATCCGGGCGGCCTAGAACACATACTCATCAATCGTGGAAATAGCTGATGATATAGATTATGTTCTAATATAGTGTTCTGTAACGAAAAGGATTCTCTCGCCAACAACAGTAATTGGCTCCTTGTTTTTGTTGAACTTTTTATAGATACAAATAAGGGGATAATACTTTCGGAGATAGTTAAATGCATCTTTACTCGGAGTAATGATTTACAAGCCAGATTTACAAATCTATACAGACACGGTGAGTTCGACACTAATTGGGCCCTAAACATATAACCCCATTCCAGACAATATTTAGTAACCATCAAATGATCTACAATTTTTGTAAATTTAGCTATCTTGATTTGTAGCGGTGGTGAGCAAGCAAGTTTTGAATATCAAGGTAATGAGTTCAATCTTCAGTCGATGATACGCAATTGTGACTTTACTTCGTACTAAGGTAAATTAAATCGTACCTATATACAGTAATTGGGTTGCTGGGAAACTGTGAGTCGCACAGAATACATAAGGAAGGAACGAATGAAAAAAGAAAAAAAGGAAGAAAGAAATACAGACAGAGAGACACTGAGCTAGATAGATAGATAGATAGATAGATAGATAGATAGATAGATAGATAGATAGATAGCGATGCAGCAGATAATACTGGATTATATGGAACGAGTAGCACACGTAGAGTGATCTGACATATATACATACATATTAGTATAGTTGGTCACTCGTATTCGAGGATACCATTCTGCTAGGGCTGCTAGCCAATCCCTATTGCAGACGCTTGCTCAGGCGCATTTTTGTTTATTCAACACCCACAGAGCTCACCTGTGGTTTATACTACAACTATCCTGAGCAGACCTTAGTTACAGTTTCTGTGAAAGAGGGTGTTATCTAGCGTGATCAACAATTTGAACAGGGCCAGCACGCTCAAGCCCTCGGCCACGATGACTTGTGACATCGTGCTAGCACAGCTATCGACGACCCCCCCCAAAGGATCCGTCTACGCAATTTCACTCACAAGGCTTGGGTCAACCCGTGGTGTGGTTTTTCAGGCACATTCCAAAGGTGTCGCACGCTGGGATCGACCCCTCCAGATAACATCACGAAGTCTCCTTCCTGACAAATCAACCATGGTGAAATTAGAACCCGGTCATTCTCAAGCAAACGTTCTAACCGCTCAGCGACGTGCCCATATACATACATACATACATACATAAAGAAAGAAAGAAAGAAAGAAAGAAAGAAAGAAAGAAAGAAAGAAAGAAAGAAAAAAAAAAAAAAAAAAAGACAAGTGTCAAAAAAGTGTGGAAATTTATATGTGCTTTTTTAATGGAATCTTAGAAGAAATAAAAAAGGGAATGAAATCTCTTTTTTTTCTTCTAGTAAAGAAAGCTGCAAGCAGATATCGAAAGTGAAATATATTTCCACTTTCTGAACGAAGAACGTCAGTGGAAATAATTATAGAAAGCCGGAATAATTGGGGGAAAAAACAGAAACAAAATGCAACAATAACAACAACTGAATGATTATTAAGAAAAAGAAGCGATTCAAAAACATACCAACGAATCTTTTAAAAAAAACTACAAATTAAACACAAAGAAAGACTTCATGAAACTAAATTATCAAATGAGAAAACAGAAGTGGAAATGTTTTTTAATTAAAAAGCCAAAAAAAATGTTTTGCTAAATCACTACTACGACAGCAGCTGCTATCGCTACAACGACTACCACTTTGATAATTGATTCTCTTATTGATATTTACTAAGCTTTGCTTAGTCTGACAGAAGGCAACAATTGTAAGGCATCGCAAGCATCAAAATTTAGTTTTTCAAGATTAGATTGCCACAGTGCAACGCTATAATTATATCTCATACAAAAGGTGTTCCAAAAATCACCTAGAGATTTACAAAACTTGTAATTTCAACATTTTTTAATTATTCAAAAATAGTTTCATACAGAATTAAAATTCAAATACGGGGAATATATTTCCGTTTATTTGTGAAAATGTATATGACGTAGATATCCTCTATTTTCAACTTTACACAGATGAGTTCTTTTTCAGTAGAATTCTCTATAACTGTTTAATAACTGGTTAAAGGTCTCGAATTTCTGCGTTTTCTGAGTTGCCGAATTGTCAACGGTTTATTGACGATTACACGCTCCTTAAAGTAACTGTAGTGATATGTAGATTAACTAATTAATATATCCAGAATACCCAGGTCATATAATGATTCCGATTAAGAGTAACTATGAATGAGCATTGAGTAGTAATGGATTTAGGACTTCACAACAGTAACCCCACATTTGATAATCGGGAGGAGTCAGATCTGAAGAACCTTGTGGCCATAAAATTATGGAATGTCACGATGTTAAATAATAATTGAACAGGCTAATATTATAAGGGGGATGTTTTACCTTCGAGGTCAGATGCAAGCCAAAATAAGGAAGTCGATTTTGATTCCAACGTGGGAAAGAATATAGGAGGAAGGTGAGTTGGTTGTTACACGGCAGTGTAGACGTGTTGACTTTCCTGTTTGAAACGGCTCCCCAGTGACCCCTACTGAATAGTTAGAAAATGTAAACGTCAACTTGATAAATAAAAAGTTTACTTAAAATTATTACAGTGTTGAAGGTCTTTTATCTCTGATCCCGGAACATCAAGTGATCACCGGCCGCGAGAGAAGAATGCAAATTGAGGCCGTTGCTCAGGACCTCCCAGCATGAGGGGGCACTATGCAACAATGAAATTATCCGGTGAACAAAACTTTGGTTAAATCCAAAATAAAATCCGACGATTTAGTTTCTTTGTTCACTTTTTTTTCGTTTTTTTTTGTGAATTTTTCCCATGGTAAATTTCTCTAACGTTCTGAAAATGAAATAAACAAAGAAATCGGATTAAAAATATGACTTGATATTGCATTATCTGTCTATATTTCTGAGATGAGGTATTATGTACACTATTTACATTATTCAGACTATTGTCCTCATCTTTGTCGCCATATTTATTACAACATTTCGACCATGTGTCGCTGTGCCATGTTTCGGCACTGTGCCACGTGTCCTCAAGGATCCAGTGAAAGGACCCAAAAAATGTGAGTTCAATACCTGGTTAAGGCGGTGAAGAACTTGGAGAGGGAAATTAAAAGGAGATAATTGATAATTGACATCCATTAGACATGGCACGTGGAACTAGAACAGTCTACCCCAGTGAGCGAAATAAAGGGTTCAGTTCGACATTCCAACCACCTGAAGAAGGTCGAAGCGTGCATCTTACTAGACGCCTTGAAATATGAAGGATACAGTTCGGAGTTTATGGGAAACGCTGTGCCATCCACTCCTCGGACATTGCGCAAAGAGATTATCACCTCTTCAATTTCCTGGATAGTGGTTGTTCAAAGAATGGAAGCGGGAAATCGTGGGAAATCCTTCGTAAATGAGGCTGACTTACGGCAGGCACTTACAGACTTCTTTGAGTTCAAGACACCTTATTTTTACCGCTAGGGGCATTGTGCTGCTGGAGCTACGTTAGAAAATGTTTCTGAATCCCGATCGGTATTACTTTGAGAACTAACGCTATGTTAAACTTTCGGTATACCTGTTGTTTTCCTAATAAATCAAAAACAGCAAAATCCATTTTGGTCACAAGGTATAACTTGGTCAGTCTAAGAACTTACCAGCTGCCCCTCGAAAGATGTTTGAAAAAATGGTCGGCTCCTTGTACCGCAGCAGAAAAGTATCTAATTCAGCTATACTTTTTTCATATTTTTAAAATATTTTTCAAGGGCCTCTCTTTAAAAAAATTTAATCTTCATCGATATAAAATTGAAAAATAATCCAATTAAAATAAAAGGGGCAGGAGGTAAAAACGCGTGAAAAAATTCTCTAAAATTTTGAGCAGAGACTGCTTTAAAGGTATTCATTTTTCTTACATGAATGCCAAAAGTTTTGTTAAAATCCAATAATTAGATTATAGAGTCAGATCCGACTAAAAGTGGAATAATCCTAGATTTGCCCAGTCCTCAATTTCCAGCCTGGACAGAGTTCCCTATCGTTTACGTGACCTCGAAGGAGACGAAATATTTTCCACTCTAAATCGCCTTTCACACTGATGCATGGTCGCAAGCCTATCTCTTCTCTGTTGCTAATTCTATAGATGTTCTTTGATTACGGGGAACAGAACCCCGCATGGATGCATCACAAAACACCACATTGTTAACGTCTTAAAACTGACAACCAATCCTACCCACACATTCAGAAAGAAAAAATCAGTATGAAAAGTTTTTCATTTGTTTTTTCCCGTCGTTTTTTTTTTTTTTTTTTCTTAAGTATATATCTTCTTTTTTTCTGCTGAATGAATGGGGGGTTGACTTGGAAATTACAGAAGCTCACGGGTGAGTGTTGATAATTTTTCCTGCTTTTTCTTTCTTTCTTTTCCTTGTTTAAATAACAGAAAACTTTCCTGGCATTAAAAAAAAGAAAAAAAAAAGAAAAAAAGGTCTGGTACCTTGGCTTCAGTCACTTTCCCACCGTTATAAAATTGGTTCTCTTTGCATTTTCCATATATACCTTCATGGAAATTGCTCTGATCAGCTTTCTTCTATGGTACCTAGACTTTATCAGTTTAAGCTCAGCACTAGATTGGCGGCAAGATCTCATCATTTTATACTTGAAATGGATAGATGTAATATATATATATATATATATATATATATATATATATATATATATATATAAAGAACATGAATTAAGAAGACAGAAGATAACGATTGACATTGCATTTAAATTTTTGAAGATCAAAGTTGACGCCAAAAGAGATTTCCACAAACGAGAAGTGCGATAGAAGGAATTATTAGCACAGGACTGACTTCCTGATTTTTAAATTGATCTTCAAAAATTTAAATGCCATGTCAATCATTGTCTTTTGTCTTCTTAATTCATGTTCTTTTATTGTTCTTGCCCCTTAATAGCGATTTTTTCTTATATTCTCTAACACTCAGTAACCATTTGCATCTTAGTGGCTTCATCGCCTTGCTTGGGGTGAAAAAGAGGTATTTAAGTTTGATTATATTTTCGACGATTTCTTTACAATTATAAATGACATCACATCAATATTATGCAAATGATATTGCGCCCTTTTTTTCCAAAATGACTATTAGAAACAGTTTCCCCCCCTCCGCTGGAAACGATTGCATGTAACTATTTTAATTAAAAAAATTGTAATAAATATAGACTATAAAATAATCAATAAAAAAGTTTAATGAATAACAACAAACTAATAAGCTTTAATAAAAAATTTAAATTTTTGAGAGAGAAAAATTAAGAAACAAACTTTCATCTTAAATGAATTAGACTGAAATTAAAATATTCTCTCATTTTAAAATTAACCTTTAACACTCTGCATTACTCACTAATTTCCTTTCCATTGCACTACTTAATTTTAGTCAAGGTCATTTTCTATTGCCATAGCAGGATATGACAACACAACCGTAAAATTCAAACCAGCTATTATTCATTCATCTGAGTCACTTGCAGGATAAAACATTTTGCAAGCAAAATCACCTTCAGAATGTTAAAGGTTATTGAAAAAAGCTTATACTGGATGGTACCCAAAATTTGGGGATTTCAAGCAGCAAACCGAATGTTGCACGTTATCCGTCAACTCCTCTTCCTAAACAGCATTTATTGTCAACCAGTGCACAGACAGAAGACACTGTTCCAGAAAGAGATGACGGATATGAGGTCTCCCTCTGCTTTTGAATAAACTTATGTATGATAATGAGAATGACCTTGTTTCACATTGCTTTCTGCTACACCCTCTGGAAAATGATTGTTAGAAAAAATATGACAAAAAAAGAAAAAAGAAACACAGACACAGATGGAAGATAAAACAAAAAAAAATAAATTTCGCATTATCTGATCGAAATGAAAACGATGATGTTAATAAAGCAGCTTTTTAACAAACAGAAAAGCCGAATGCCGACAACGTACAGAACAAAAGTAAATAAACACTTCTATTTTCTAACAGAATTTAACAATCTAAGCAATGCAATTATATGTATTGTATAAGCTAAAATTTCGTGTATGTGTCGATAGCAGATTTGAAAGAATTTGATTCAGGCTTGCTGTTCAAATTTCCCGGATTTCTGGCTTTCGTGTTTTGTCGTCGTGTTTTATATATTAACCTTGATTTCATAAGCACATATTTGGTTTCGAGTGAGAGAAGCTTCGAAATAAGAAATGCCTACACAAACCAGAAGTGTCTTTTGTCTTCAGGTTTTTCATCATTGTTGCATTTAACGAGATGCATATCCGTTCTACCTTCCACTGAATATCAATTCTAAAGAGTTTCAATTGTGCCAAATTCTAAGAAAAATTACTAAAGCCTCTTTTTAACAGCTTTAAACATCATAAGAATATTTATGCAAACTAAAATTTACTAGGATTGCCGTTTATAGATTTTTAACATTGTTAATTAGGATATAATTGTATTTTTTTTCTGTTTCTTTTGGGTTGGATCTCCATACACGATTCGATAGATCTTTTTTTTTTTTCTTTTTGTCAGTAAAAAAACCGACAAGATCTTTCAATGCGCACAGAATGATTAATCGAGTTCAGTTTTCTATTCCTTATTCTTGCTACTAACCAGTATTTTATTTAAGGGTTTCAACCCTAGCAAGGCGATAATGCCACTAAGACGCTAGGAGTTGGAAGGCGTAAAGGAGAATGAGAAGACTTTAAAAGAAACCAGAAACGCAATCCTAAACTGGAAACAAGAGATGAATCTCTACTCCTGTTCAGCAGATTGGAGAGGAGTGTGAACCGGACGATAGGCGAATCTGTTTACTCCTATTGAAGAAAAAGTAAAATAAATAAATAGTAAATAAAATTTCTGAGTTTAGCCGGTGACATTAGACGTATAGAGTTGAAGTAGACTTTAGAAAGAACCGGAAACTCAATCCTAAACAAGAAACCAGAAATAAACTTCTACCCCTGTTTACAAAAAAAAAGGGAGGAGGGAGAATATACTATATGTCTGTTTGAGAGATTCCACTTTTTTTCATCGAGAAATATCAGAACAGGTCTTCTTGCAGAATAACACTCTTCTTGGATCTTCTTTTTCGAAATACTGATTAAAATATAAAACAAAGATCTTTATACGTTTATTCTTGCCGCATTGAGCTTTCTGTCATATAGCGTTGAAACGGTGGTTGCCAGACGGTCAACGAAGTTAAGCAACGTTGAACCTGGTCAGTACTTAGATGGGTGGCCGTTAGGGAATACCAGGGGCCTTATTGTTTTTCTCAAAGTACCTTCTTTTGTTATATTTGAGCTCACACAACTCCAGTTATTTTTTGTTTCCTTTTTACTCTCACCACACCAATTACTTTCTTTTGTTTCTTTTTCACTCTATTTCAATTTCCATTGTTTCTTCTTTACTCTCACCACTCCAGTTATATTCTTTTGTTTCTTTTTCTTTGCTTTCAATACTCCGATTATTTTTCTTTTGTTTCGTTTTACGTTAGAGTAAAACTCCAGTTACTTTGTTTCTTTTTTACTCTCACCACTCTATTTACTTTCTTTTTTATGATTTACTCTCACCACTCCAATTTCTATTGTTTCTTCTTTACTTGCACCACTCTAATTATTTCCTTTTGTTTCTTTTTTCTTTGCTATCACTACTCTAGTTATTTTTCTTTTGTTTCTTTTTTTACTCTCACCACTCCAATTACTTCTTGTTCTCACTACTCTAAATACATTTTTGTTGTTTTTTTTTTTGCTTCTACTACTCGAAATACTTTCTTTTGTTTCTTTTTTTTACTCTCTCTACTCCAAGTCATTTCCCTCGTTAAACTACTACTCTTCCCATTCCTCACCGCTTTATCTCACTTTCTGTTTATGTTATTACGTCAACGGAAATGGCTGAAAGATTTTGTTTTAAATGGATAATGGAAAAAGGCAACGTGAAGTGAAAACTGAGTGAGATCTGAAGTAAAGAGGAAAAAGAGATAGATAAGGAGGGGGTGAGAGAGAGAGAGAGTATATAGAGAAGTCATTTCAAGTTATTATACATTTCTCTCAATTAGTTGGTAAAAGTGCGAGCAAAAAAAGAAAAAATAGAGGCAAACATTAAACGAAAAACAAATGAGGAGTCGAGAGGAAGAAGGAACATATGAGAGAGAAAAAAGAAAGGAAGAAGTAAACAAATGGTTAACACTTCGTTTTACAGTCAAAGAAAGAAAGAAAGAAAACATGAATAAATACTTCATTTTAGTAACTAGAAAAAGAAATAAATGTCTCTTAAATAAAGTAAGCCCAAAGAAAGAAAGAAATGAAACTTTTTAGATTGATTGTTTTTTACGACTTATCAATCATTAACGGGTTATTTTAAAAAAAATAACCAGAAAATATTTTTAGTTTGTAACAATTTATGGAGACAAGTCTTACTAATTAACCCATAGCTGGAGGGAGAATCGGTGGATTCATACTTTTCCTAAGTGTATTTGCGTGTAAGTAAATATAACGAACAGGACTGGAATTAGAACTTGACACTTCGATTTCCATTTCTGAGCCATTTATCCATTGCACCACCCGCTCATCGAGGTTTACAGCAACTGGTATGCCCAAGCGGTAACCCATCTAATCTGACGTTACTTAACAAAAAACGGTGTCTCAATGTGATATGGCCGGTTTTTTTTAGAAACCAAAGAAAGAAACTAAGAAACAAGCAAACATACAGATAATAAATTAATAGTGAGTTTTAATGATCAGAAAATGAAAGAAAGACAGAGAGAAAGAAAGAAACAATGAAACAATATTTAGTTTTACTGACCAGAACAAGAAGAGAAAGAACGAAATATGACTAAGTGTTAGTGACGAGAAAAAGAAAGACTGAAAGGAAGGAAGGAAGGAAGGAAGGAAGGAAGGAAGGAAGGAAGGAAGGAAGGAAGGAAGGAAGGAAGGAAGGAAGGAACAAACAATCAAACAATGAAATAATATTTAGTTTTAGTGACCAGAAAACGAAAGAAAGAACGAAGGAAATAATTCTGAGATTTGGTGAGCAGAAAAAAAGAAAGAAACAACAAATTAATACTTATGACCAGAACAAGGTAAGAAAGAAAGAAAGAACAAAATAATATGGAGTTTTAGTGGAAAGAAAGAAAGAAAGAAAGAAAGAAAGAAAGAAAGAAAGAAAGAACTGAGCATTTTTGCGTTCCTAGAAACAGTGAAATAACGTCAAACATCGAGGATACGGTGATAATCAAGGAAAATGAAAGGCTATAAAAACATTGGAATGTCGAAAATGATACTGAAAGGAGAGAAAACAATATAAAAAAGAAACAAGTAAAAGTAACCTAATTTCAAAAAAAGACGATTTTAAAGTCTAAAACGATTCCCTGAACTTGAGAATAAATCGAAAGAAAAACCTAGAAAAAAATAAATCAAAGCATAAAAAGGTGACAGCAAATGGAACTGTTTTATTTCTGTTTCATTTACTTTTTCTAATGAAAGTTACTTGTGACCCTATTTTTTTTTTTCTTTAAACAACATTATCACTTCAGCAAAACAACTATTAAGTTTGACAGAGGTTATCTAACCTTCCCAGTTTAGTTAAACAAACATTACTCCCAATGTCTTTCATAAATAGAAGTTCGTGTTACGGCGTTTTCATTTAGTGCACAGTCTATATTCAAGATATTGTGTTTTTAAATATATTAGCATAGTACCCGTCAAAAATGGTAGGATGATTTACAAATGTATCGCTACTCCTGCCAAGGTTCAGAATCTCTATACGCTTCTTCTAAGATCAAAGCGTCATTTCCCGGCACTTCTGTAAATGATAAGTGTAATTAATATCTATAAGCTGTGGGAAGTGTTACTTACGCATCCAGTTCCTTCTCTATTTGAGTTGATTCTATAAGCAGATGTTAAACAATGATTGAAAGAGACTTCAGAAGAAACGCTTATTCCGAAGATATAGTCAATTGAAGACTTCTTATCGCTCGCTCTCTCCCTATATATATATATATATATATATTTAAAAGAAAAAAAGACCACTTTAAGGTACCATTATAATAATTTATTTCACCAGAGCCCTATGAAATTAAAATTGATGGGTAGTGTAAGTTTTTGTAATTTAACAGAGAGTGTAAGAGGGATAGTTAAGGAGACATGGTAGAGTATAGGGAGGGGTTAATTTCATATCTCTCTCAAGCATACTTTGTATTGGGGGAGGAGGAGTGACCAGAGATTGACCTATTTAGACAGTTAACTTAACGGAAGTGATATATTGAAATGGGAGGGGAGTAGGGAGAAAAGAAAAAGGAAAAAATGATAAAGAAAGAAGATGGAGAGGGAAGTAAAGAGAAAGAGGCTGTAATTGGGTTTTAGTAATTTATGTAAAGAATAGATTTTAATGCTTGATAGTAATTTAGATGTCTAAAAAGACCGGAATAAGTTAATTTGATGTTTGCTATCAATTTAAATAGTTATTTTTTTTAAACAAATAGTTTATGGATTTAATATGAGTTAAATGCTATATTTATTAACACATTTATAGAGAACATATTAAAAAAATATTTAAAATTATAACAGTTTGTTTACCCAACCAATCGTACTTTAAATACTTTTTAAATATATATATATATATATATATATATTGACTATATATATATATATATATATATATATATATATATATATATATATATATATATATCTTTAAAAATCAGGAAGTCAGTTGAATCCGCTACCTTGGTTTCAACCTTACGATATCCTGAGGTGATTTTTATCAAATGACTTCTTAACGCTTTTTTTTTTAACTAATGAACGCTATATTATTATTTTCAAAAATAAATAAACAAACACACGACGTTGGGTATAATAGAAAGGGAAGGGGAGGATGTGGTTAAAAAGAAGAATATTATTATTATTATTATTATTATTATTATTATAAATGTATCGGTGTGTGGTTAATTGAAATCTACATTACTTTTTTTAATCCAGCCTCATATGTGCTTAAGAGGAAATTCTTAATCTGTAAGCAAGGACTCAAGACTTCGGTATTCTTGTTCAGAAGGTTCTTTGGATCTGCAAATGTCATAATTGCTCATTTTTCCTGTCGGTAAGGTTGCAAATATATTTGTGGTTGTTTTGCCTTTTGTAAAATGTTTCTACCTTACAATCGGATCCCTGTTGTTGTATTTTTTTCTTTTAAATTCCACACATTGTTAACTAGTTTGGTAGTGCACCTAAGATTTACTAGCTTAAATGACGACCTATAATTGTAACATCTATGTTTGAAAGTACCTTCCGTACATCGTATGTACGTTTTATTTTGACTATTAATATCAGTTTCTTCTGCTTTATAGATTATAGCTTCTGTTTTACATGCTCCATTTAATGGGCATATATTCTTATGTCAGCAGTTGCATCAATTACTAGTGTTAACAATAATATGATTTTGTCCCAGTTTTCATGGACGTAGAATGAGACCTACAAGCTGGTATTGTCTCCCATACAAGAAATCCAACACAAAATTAAAATACGTGAATATTAGATCTAACCACCCTGCAAACATAATAATTAAAGTCTAGGTTATCCAGAAACTCTTCTAGTAAAATAATTTTTGAGGCTAAAAAGAAAGAATATGAGAAAAACTTAAAGGTAGAGGGCCATAAAACCAAACTAGAATTTAAACCTCAAATTAAACAACATATGAAGAACAATTCGAGGAAAAGAAAAAATATCATTTGGTTTAACGTCACTTTTAACTTAAGAGGTAAAATGTAAAATAGGGAAATTATTTTTCAAGTTACTTACTAAAAACTTACACCAAAATTCAGAATTACATACGATATTCATTAAAAACAGTTAAATTAAGCTTCAGCTGCACTAGTAATTTAGAAACAATAATAAATAGACAAAACGCCAGAAATTTCAAAACTAACACGCAGCAAAATATAGTTATTACTAGTAATTTATGCAACTGTAGAAATAAGACTAGATGTCCATTAAATGGAGCTTTTAAAACAAAAGCTATAATATATAAAGCAGAAGTAACAGATATTAATGGACAAAATAAAACGTAAATAGGATGTATTGAAGTTACTTTCAAACGTAGATGATGCAATCATAGGTTGGCATTTAAGCTAGTATATATTAGGTGCACTACAAAACTAAGTAACCATGTGTGAAATTTAGAAGAAAAAACGACCGATTTTAAGATGTAAAATTTTTAAAATGTCTAAGTCTTATAAGAACTACAACAATATCTATAACTTCTATTGACAGGAAAATTAGCAATCTGGAACAAAAGAACCTTCTGAGCCAGAAATCCGAAGTCTTGAGTTCTTCCTTACATATGAGAAAGTTCCTCTTAAACACATATGAGGCTGGATAACAAAAGGTAATATACATTTCAATTAACCTCACACCGATACATACTTCTCTTCTTTCTTCTTCTTCTTCTTCTTCTTCTTCTTCTTCTTCTTCTTCTTCTTCTTCTATATTATATATATATATATATATATATATATATATATATATATATTATTCTTGGACTTATATTTTTTATAATTTTTATCAATGACATCCCTGATGGCTTCAGCCCTCAAGTCGGTATCTCAAAAGTGACATAAAATCACTTGTTAACTGGGGCGAGGAATGACTTGTTAATTTTAACACCTGCAAAACAAAACTGCTATCTATTAATAATCAGCGACAGTCCTTTCTACCTTCAATCAGCATGGTTCGTGCTCACCTCCAGGTGATGTTTTGCGCCTACTCGGGCAAACGTTTACTGCTGACATGAAATGGAAAGATTATATTGAATCGACTGCTAGACCAGCTAATAACAATGTTGGTTCACTGCGTCGTGCTGGACATTTTTTTTCTTTAGAAATTAACTTACAGTTTACCATTCGTCCATGCTTCAAATATTACTGCCACATCTAGTCTGATACGCCAACTATATACTTACACATACTTGAAAAAATCCAAAGAAGAATCTGCAATATTATTGGCCTTGACCTGGCATCCTATCTTCAGTAAATTTGCCACAACCATATCATCGCTTCCCTGTGCATATTTCTATAAATACTTTCTTGGTAACTGTTCTGATCAACTTTCCTCTATGGTACCTAGACTTTATCAATTTAAGCACTGTTTTTAAAATAATGGGATTATTTTTGTGTCAAATAATAAATCTTTTAATTTATCCATCAAAATTTATTGTATTAATCTACGCACCCGA